ATGCACAATTTTGTCTTCCATCTTCAACTTGTAAAAATCTCTCCAAAATTTGACCAAATCTTTTTTTTTTTCAAATGAAGCTAGAACTGTTAGCTGTCAAATGACATAGCAATAATACAGATGTGAATGACTACTACTTCTGAAATTGAACTAGTGCCATCTGTTGTAAAAATGCATCTTGACTTTTCCAAAAGCCCAATAAATGGAGTCTGAAAATTGAATCTCCATTTAAAATCACATTTAAAGATGGAATCTAGGTTCACTAAAGAGCTAATGTAAAAGGAAAAACTAAAGTTAACAAAAGAAAAAACAGTGAAATATTTTTATAACTTAGAAGGAAAGAAACACTTCTTTTAGAATAATTTTAGAGCTGGTCCCATAGTGCAACAATAAAGTGCTATGCAGAGGAAGATAGATCCTACATGGTTGATCAGGGTTCAAGTCCCAACCTTGGTGGCTTGAAAAACATCCTGGCTGGGACCAGTAGATGGCATAATGGTTATGTCATTGAACTCCCACATGGTCAACCGCAGTTTGAGTTCCAGACTTGGAGGCTTGAAACTCACACCAGGTGGATGTGTGTATGTGCTCAAAATCCTGAAAGGAGAATGGAGGAGAAGGAATTGTGGCATGGCTATCTCCTGAGGGATCATTTCCCATTTTCTGTCTGTTTCTCTCTGTCTTTCCCGTGAGCGCACACACTCTATAGCAAAAATCTCTCTTAAAAAAAAAGGAAAAAGAAAAACATCCTGGCCTCACATACAGGCTCAGAATCCTGATGGAATGGAAACTCAGATGAGAGAGCATGTGGTAGAACTAGGTCCCATTGCCCCAATAGGGGGCCTTACTCTCTTTCTTTCTCTTATGCCCCATGAAAAACAAGACAAAACAAAATAAAACAAAACCTTTAAAATAATCATAAGGCAAAGGAAATTGATGACTGCTATAAATTCAAAATTATGGATTTCTATTTTAAGAAGTACAATATGATCACTATTAATAGAATCTGGAATAAGGGCAGTGTCTACAGTAAATATATTATTAATGTCTAGAAGATAAAAGGAATTTCTGCAAAGCAGTATTTAGAAACAAAACAAAACAAAAACAACTCTAATAGAAAAACAAAAAGATGTTCAATTTATAGAAATGAATGCCCCCCAAAGCTAATATGTATGTGTAATGATGCACAAACTCATTAGTAATTAGAAAAAATGCAAATTCAATCTCTAATAAGATACTATCTTATACCTATCAATCTGGAAAACATTAGGAAAATAAATAATACCATATGCTGTGAACTGAATGTGTATGTCTCTCCAAAATTCATATTTTGGATTCTAAATCCCAAGGTAATGATAATTAGAAGATGGGGGCCTTTGGAAGTAATTAGGTCATAAGGGTGGAGCCCTCATGAAAGGGATTACTTTTCTTATAAGAGAATTTCTGGCTCCTTCAGTCATGTGAAGTCACAGCAGGAAGATGCTTTTCTGTGAACCAGGAAACAGACCCTCTTCAGACCCTAAATCTGCTGGTGCCTTTATCTAGGATTCTCCAGCCCTTTGACAATAAATGTTTGTGGTTTAAGTCAGTCAGTCCATAGTATTTCTGTTGTAGCACCCCAAAAAGACTTATATACTATGTGTTGACAAAATATGGGGGCATAGGAATCCTCATGAGCTGCAGATTGGAATGCACACCAATGCAGCCTTTCTGAAGAGCAGCCTCCCACTAATTAATTGAATTAAGTATATGTATTCCCAGTGACACAGTAATTCTGTTCCCAGAAGGATTCACATGGATCCATAGCAGATAAGTAGGAGTCTATTTAGTCAGCATTTTTTTGTGTATTAGGCAAGTATGCAGGTAAAATGTGATAGTCATATTCTGAGTCATCATGCAGCAGCTAATATCAATGAATTAGACGTACATTTGGCAACATTGATACATCTTTAAAAAAGTTCTGAATAGGAACCAGCAGGAGGTATGGTGGTTAAAGGCGCTGAACTCCCACATGGCTGACCACAGTTCAAATCCTGGACCTAGTGACTTACTTTCTCACTTTCCCTCTCTCTCTCGCTCTGAATTTCTCTGAGCAAACTGGAAAATAATAATAATAAATAAAGTTAAATAAAATAACTCTTAAAAAAACAAAAGTTCTGGGGCCAGCAGATGGTGTAGTGGTTAAGGTGGCTAGACTCCCACATGGCTGAACACAGTTCCAGTCCCAGATCTGGCAGCTTGCTTTCTTGGTCTCCTTCTCTCTCTCTTTCTCTGGTCAACTTCAAAAAAAAAAAATTAAATAATAACAATGAATAAAATTTTTAAAAAAAGAGTTCTGAGTAGAAAAGGTTGAAACAAAGTGATTTATGACACAAAGGATAAGCCAAAAGAATGTGAACAAAATAACAAAATTATTGCAAGAGTGAATATGAACAAAAGAATATATATGAAGCACAGAATGGCTGCCTCATATGAGAGGGTATGGGTTTATGAGGATAAAGGAGAATAAACAATGACAACTGGGGCCTTGCACATATCAGTGATTATAAACATATCCTTACTTAACTCAGTCTCCCTGAGGTTCCTTCACTCCTAGAAACACATGCATAACTGAAACTTTAAAATCTACTTCTAAACACATCTTCTGTTCCAGATGCACTTCTGCATTTCTCTCGCTTCTATTGCATTCCTGGCCGCTTCAGTAAAGACAGAATTCTTTAATTAGCGTAAACAACAATAATAATGTTGGGTATAAAACATAAATAAAATAAATTTTAACTTTTTAAAACAAATTACAATAGTTTCCATTGTTCAAAGAATCTATCTTTGTAAGTAAGGCATTTTTTTTTCTTTTTTCTTTTTTAAAATTGAGTATATTATGTGTAATATGGAGTCACTTAGGGTTAGAAGAGTGGAGGAGATATTGAGGTATACATTCAGGCCCCCAGTTTATTCTAACTTTCCTCAAGAATTGATTGCAAATGCTGTTTTCTAAGACACTCTGAATATAAGAGTGGAAAAACTTATATCAATCTGTAAACAGTAATAATTAGTTAGGCGGATAAGGCTACAAAATAGAAAAATGTGCATGACTTAATGTTAATTGAAAATATAAGGACTACCAGATAACGGTTGTATCGCTGGACTCCCACACAGTTGACCATGGTTTGAGTCACAGATCTAACAGCTTAAAACTCACACTGACGTATGTGTGAATGCCCAAAATCCCAAGAGGAAAATAGAGAAGAAAGGATTGTGGCATGGCCATCCCCCTGAGAAGTGATTTCTCGCTTTCTGTCTGTCTCTTTGGCAAGTGCATGTGCCCAATAGCAAAATTTATCTAAAAAAGAAAATATAAACACCATCTATAATATTATTTTAAATATATTGGATTGAGTATGCTATAGACAAGGAACAAATGGTGACATGGAAAAAATGACAATTTGAGAAAGAAAATGTTTTAGAAAAAAAGTTTTTTTTTTTTTTTTTTTAACTTTTTTAGAGGTTTTTGCTATAGGGCGCATGCATTCACCAGACAAAGAGAGACAGAGAGATAGAAAGCGAGAAATCACCCCCAAGGGGGGATGGCCACACCACAATCCCTTCTCCTCCACTCTCCTCTCAGGATCTTGGGCACGCACGCACATGTGCCCCGCATGAGTTTTAAGCCACCAGGTCCGGGACGCAATCCGAGGTCGACTACATGGGAGTCCAGCAACATAGCCATTACGCTAACTGCTGGTCCCAGAAAAAAAGTTTTTTGATTAAAACAAACCAATACATCCCTTGTTTCTTCTGTTTCAAAATAACTCTGTACTTCTGTGCTTCCTTGTCAGTGAAGTTAATCTAAACTTAGTTTCTGAGCAAGGGTTCATGTGCACCTGGAGTAGAACTATTGTACAACTAAGTGTGCCTTTTTCCTCTTTCAGAGCAGTCTCGCATTTGAGCTTTAACAATATTGTTAGCATTTAACTTGAATTTATAATGGGACTGGATTTTTTTGTCGTTGTTAGTACATTTTCAAGTTACAATGAATATTTTTGACTATCTTTTTTTCCTCATATATTGAAAAAATACTCTGACCAGCCTATGACATGGTGGTTAGGTGACTGGATCCCACATGGCTGGCTGCATGGTTTGACTCCTGGACCTAGAGAACATATAGGGTATATGTGCACATGTGCCCAAAAATCTCGAAAGGAGGGAGAGATGGGGGAGAAGGGATTGTGATGTGACCATTTCCCATGGGGAGTGCTTTCTCACTTTCTCTCTCTGTTGCTCTCCGGCTTGTGCTCTCTGACAAAAATGTTTTTTAAAGTACTTGAAATCAGGTCCAGCAGATGGCATAGTGGTTACATTGTTGAACTCCCACATGGTCAACTGCAGTTCGAGGTCCAGACCTGTAGCTTGAAACGCATGCTGGGTGTGTGTACGTTTATGGCCAAGATCTCAGTAACAGAATGAAGGAGAAGGGATTGCTGTGTGGCCATCCCCCTGGGAGGTGATTTCTCACTTTCCCTCTCACTGTCTCTGTTTCTCTCTCTCTGGTGAGTGCATGTACCCTAAGGTACAAACAAAACAAAATAAAACCATAAAACCTCTGAAAAAAATACTGGGGATCTTAAAATGTGGTTCTAAAAAAGCATTTGATTTTACAAGTAATCAGTTCTGGTTTGGTTAGGTTTTTCTGTCAGGGAAATGTTGGTGGAATTGGGCAGGTATATCTTGGCCTCACAATTCTCACCTTTAACTGAGGTGGCTAAGAGTTGTTTCTCAGAATATCCCATTTGTTAGACAGATTCCCTTACTCTTACTCCCCTTTCCATTCCTTCCCATCCCATCATTCACTGATTAAGCACCTCTGGGGTAGGGTCTAGGGGACATCAAGATGATTCTAATGCAGGTGCTCTGAAAATCATGCTTTTAGAAATGAAGGCAAGAATCTACAGAGTTCCTCTACCTGTGTTATTTTATGATTAAAAGAATTTTATCCAACTTACCAAATACTCGCTCATCTCCTTTAAGTCCTTAAATTGATATGTGCTGCTTTGTCCAGAATTGCTATTGACTCGTAGATCTGAAATTTTAAAGGTGCCACGATAGTATTCTGTTTTCTGACCTGTGATGAAAATGAAAAGTAAGAAATTAGAGATTTGGTCAAAGATCTCATAGTCTAAGATTCAACTATAATGGAGTTAATATGAAATCTTAAATATATGTTGACTCTGTGGTGGAAAGGAAACTCACTTATACTGTTGGTGGAATGTAAATTAATTCCACGTCTATGCAAAACAAGATGAAGGTTCTCAAAAACCTACAAATAGAGCTTCCATATGACCTAAAAACCCCTTGGTATTTACACAAAGGATAGGAAAACCTTCGATTGAAAGACACTTGCACATCCGTATTTATTACAGCATTATTCACAGTTTCTAAAACATGAACCAATCTAAGTGTTCAAAAACTGATGACTGGGTTGAAAAACTGAGGCACATATGATTATGGAATATTACACAGCTCCAAGAAGCAACAAGGTTCTATTGTTTGACTCAAAATGGATGAATATAGAAGACTTAATATTGAGCAAAGTGAGCCAGACTTTGAAAGATACACATTGTATATCTCTACTCAATTTGTACAGTGTTTGCACTCTATGGCAGAGGCTGAGAGGTCTGAAGATGTGATGGTGGAGAGGGTGGGTATGGATGCTAGAGACTGTAAAGGGGAAAATGACTGATAGAGAATAGGTGGTGGATTGTGGATGTGAGAAACAAGTTTTAGAACAGTCATATCTGCTTAAAAGTGTCATTTGCCTGTTAAACTAGTCTACAGATTTTTTTAAAAAGAGATCTTGAATATATCACTGAATTTCTTTCTAATTGAGTATCATAAAAATATAAATAATGATTAATGTTTTATGTTAATAATTGTAGCTACTGTTTATAGAGTGCCCACTATGTGCCAGGCACTGTTCTGTGTACACTTTACATGTACTGATTCATTTTATCCTTACACCTTATCCTCTAAGATTGGCATCATCTCCGCTTTACAGATGACGAAAATAAGGCACAAAGGCATTTGGTAACTTGCTCTACATTATACAACTAGTAGGTGGCATCTCCAAGTTTTATTGGTTTATTTATTTACGTGCCACAGGTGTGTGTGTGCTTGGCATGGGGAGAGAGACAGAGAGTAAGGGTGGGAACACCTCTCAATGAAAATGGTAATGATGTGGTCCCTTCTCTTCCATTTCTCCATCCTGTCAGGATTTGGCAGCATGCACACACATGCACCTGGTGTGTTTTTCAACCTTCTAGGGCTAAGATTTGATCACAGGTAGCCATAGGGGAGCTAATTCCCTTAACTACTAGGCTACAGGGCTGGTCCAGTATCTCCAAGTTTAAACTCAGACAATCTAGTACTAGAGTTGAATATTATATTACTTCTTATTTTTAAGGAACAAGCCAGGTACAGTAGGAAAAACATGAATGGAAAGGCTAGGGAAAAAACTGTATGAAGTTGAAATGTGTAATAGGGATAAGCCAAACAGGTCTTGACTTGGCTATCAGGAAAAATAAGAAGAGAGTGGAGTCTCCTGAGGAATGTAATGACCTTAGGAGCAAGTCACAGGGGAACAAGAAAGTTCCAGAGTTTGTTAGAGAATAAAGCAACCACCCCTGGCTCAGAGAAAAAGCAGTGGATTTCCCAACTGTGTACTTAGGAAGAAAGAAAGGAATCTCCGCGCAACCTATCTCCTAAGCAAGATGTCTCTGGATCCTGTAATGAACTCTTAGTCCCCCTGATTACTTACCTATATAGCACGTATTGTTATCAAACCTTGCTCTCATAGTAAATGGGCTTTTGTGCAACCACACTCACTGACCTGAGAATCTTTCACGATTGGCATAAACTACAGCTGGGGTTGTCAGATGGGAATAAGGACCACAGTCTTAAACCCTGGCAAGTTCATGCTAGAGTCTTTACTCCTCCATTAAATCTGCGAAAGGGGACAACAGATAAGACCATTCTTGTAAACAACCTGAGCTAGTGCTTTATTATGTAAGTCTGTGATGAGAGTGACTTTGTGGAGATTCATCAACAAATATAATAGTTTATTCTCCATGCAAATGCGGAAAGATATGAAAAGAGAATTCTGAAATGTGTTATGTGACTATAAGTATATGAAGGAAATTCTAAAAGTTTATGGAAAAAATAAAGTAACAGTTTATTTTGGTGCAAAAACGATGTCCATGCATAATTTTTTTAGTAATATGAATTCTTTGTGGACTTTTTGAAGGCTGTATTAGGCAATAAAAATACAATCTATGGATATTGTTTTGGAAAGAGTACATTTTTATGTACTAAAATTAGGTGATGATGTGGTATCATCTTTATTGTTTTTCTATCATTTTGAAATTCATTATTTCATTAGACACATGCTCTTCTTCTACCCTTGAAATGTCAGTGGACAGAAAATTATAGTGATAACTAAAACAGTCAATTTTCATTACTAATTTGATAAATAATTTATCGTATTTTTTTATTTCAGTAACAATGAACAGTGGGAGTTACTTACATGACTATTAGTAAATTTCAAACAATTACTGTTTTTTATATTTTCTGTAGCTTCTCAAAAGAATATTGGATTAGGAGATCCAAATAGGTAGAAAATTTATTTACTTTGCTTAATGCTGTAACCTGAGTACTCAGAAAAGTACACATAGTAATTAATAGGCATTCAGTATTATTTGTTAACATATTGAAGAAATTTAAAAATATCTTAAATGTGGACATTTATAGGCAAAAGTTAAAAAAATTGAACAAAATTATGTTAACATATATACAAATGAAGCTTTGCAGAAAAATGAAATAAAAGTGAGCAAAATCCCTACTTTTACCTACGAGGGACTAAGAAGTGAACAAGAAGTCCAATGGTCACTGCCACCACCGTCAGTGATAGGACGACGAGAAGGCCGATCATCCATGGCTTCAAATCTCTGCTTCGGGTGCCAGATCCTACTGGTCTGCAAAAAGGAAAGCCCACTAGTTACTCTCACATTCTAATGGTTACAGGTTTTCTGGTTCTTCTTGGGTAAGTGCAAGGTGCTCTAACCTGCCTTTCCCAGTAAGAATACAGTTGTCAATCTTGGTTAACGTTATCTTGATCTGAAGAAAGCTGTTAAAAAGACTAGATCTGGAAATCCATAGTGTTGTTCCTGATTTCTATTTCTACAATTATGTGGGGGCCTCTTTACAGTGGCCAGGCTTGAGTTTCTTTTAGCATTGTGATCCAAAGTTGCACACACTTGCTCGAGGAAGGACCATTTCTCTTTCCTGTATCACTTGACCTGTTATCTTTCTGTTCTTTTACAGTTTACAAAATGATTTAAAAATCTATGATCTCACTTACTTCCTACCTTTTATTTTTAATCTTTATTATAAAAATTTTCAGAATGAATAGTATATTCATTGAGCACCAATATATTCATCATATCATTTTGTTAATTGTTAATATTTTTGCCATATTGTCATGACTTTTCAGCAAAGCATTGTTATAAACAATTAGAATATTTCCAATATAGCCATGATACCAGTAACACTCATTAGTGATGACATGTCTCCAATATTTTCATATCCAGTGCATCTTCAAATTTTCTCTTGTATTGCTTGATTTAAAAGAAGCTTTTCTTTTAAATATAATGCTATTTTTATATATAAATGCCAGAAAAAGGGTACAAATTATTTGTACCTAAATAGTTAAGAATATGATAGTTTGAGTATAAGTAATACATTTAGTTAATAAGCCTAGTGGAACTTGAGAGACCTGAATTCTGTTGGATATGGAAAATATTGACCATGTGTGTACTGATCGATTCAAAAGAATCTAGAGAACTGGCCATGGAAAGGCAGCATGTCCTGATGACAAAAGAAAATGTGCTTGAGAGGCCGGAAAATGGTGTGGTGGTTAAGGCGCTGGATTCCCACATGGCTGACTGCAGTTCGAGTCCCAAACCTGATGGTTTACTTTCTCACTTTCCTTCCCTCTCTGTTTCTCTCTGGTCAAATTTAAAAAATAAATAACAACAAATAAAATTAAATTTAAAAATTCTTTAAAAATAGTTAATGTGCTTAAATAGAATAGCAAACAGACTACATGGGATGTGATATTATTGATCCTCTTAAATATTTGACTTAAAACTCAAATTAGAAAGTAAAGCAGATCTTGGGACTATCAGTTGGCGTAATGGCTATGTTCCTGGACTCCCATGTAGCCGACTGCGGTTCGAGTCCAGGACTGGTTGCTTAAACTCATGCCGAGCACGCCAATGACCTAATATAACACTTATTAAAAAAGTAACAACCTATAATCTCCACAAAATCTAATTTAGCATATCCATTACACCTTCATTAAGTTTGGTTATTCAGTATTTAGAAGGATGTATTTTTGCCATGTATTTTCAAAAGCTGTCAATGAAAATGTAATCACTTGAGTGACTTTTGTGACTTCATTCCTAAAATCCTAGAGCTTGAAAGACATATGCAAGGGAAAATAGAGAGAAGTATGAATTATCATTAATGGTCAGACTTGGGATGTACAGTTCCTCAGTAAGATAACCCTAAGTTGGTGACTTCTGTTAAGTTTGAGTCAAAGATGACTTGAGTTAAGTATTATGAGCTCCTCATTCTATAGTATCATTCTATTCCTGGAGAAGTATTCTCTGAAGGCAGCCACTTTGGCTGCTTCACTGTCAACCTCATGTGCTTTACTGTTTTATCTCTAAGCTCTAAATCTTTCCTCTTTCAGGATTGCTTTTCTGTTTATTTATTTATTTTGTAGATGCAATATGTTACCATTACACAAATGGACATGCATGTGACTCTTACACATACAGCTATCTACAGGTAGGATATGTTCCCACAAGTCTTCATAAAGACCTTTTTTTTTTTAAGTGGAGCATATACTATCTGATTTAGAAAGGAATTATTGGTCTACTTCCCAGGCCAACCTACAAATTTAATGAACTCCTGATGTTGCTGAATGAAGGTACTAAATATCCTGACTCAGAGGGACCATTTCATTCAACAAACTTTGATCCCCTTTTTTAAGCCTAGGGACCACCTCTGAAGGAAAGTTCTTATAAAACGAAAGTGCTAATTCTCCTTCCACCAGCACAATCACAGTTCTCTCTGCATAGCTGAACTCAGACATTCGCTACAAGGACAGCAACTTTTTGTGGTGACTTAATATACTTTGGTATATGTATACTCTCTGGGTACATTTGGCTCTTTTTTTTTTTTTCCTTTTGTTTCCTTTTTTTTACCTCACTTTCTCACCTTCCACACATTGAGTGTCTAGGCAGGTCTAGGTGCACAGTAGCAAAACATCTGAATACTTTAAATCCCAAAGATCAGCCCAGGTACGCCTCTTTCCTTGAAACTGTGAGACCTTTATAATGTCCAGTACCAGTGACAATAGTGCAGGTTGCTTGGTGAAGATCTTGGAACTGCAGAAAAATTGCAGTCCATCTCCTTCCACACATCTCCAACACTCAGAATTAGCTCCAAGAAGGGAGGAAGAAACATATAACCCATCAGATGACCAGAAACCACCACCGCAGGGGCACAAGAAATATGGGAAATCAAGAAAATATCTCTCCCCCGAGAGGAAATAACAGCCCTTCATCATCCACAGATAGTACAATGGAACTCATGGAAATGTCAGATAAAGAATTTAGGATATTCATAGTGACAAAGCTAACAGAGATGCAAGAGAAGAGAGACAATGAACCTCAGAAAATGCAGGAGAAAAGAGACAGTGAGTTCCAGGAGGTGAGGAAGTTCTTCCATGTTCAGAAAGAGTAAATACACACCATATAAAAGAATAAAATGAAACTGTTCAAGATGAAGGCTATAATACAGTAAATCAAAACCTCCCTTGAAAGTATTAAAAGCAGATTAGATCATGCAGAAGATTGAATCTCAGATATAGAAGATAGAACCTCTGACCTAGAAAAATTCACCAAAAAGACTGAGAAAATAACTCCAGAAAATGAGGATAATATATAGATAATACTAGATACCATTAGATGCCCAAACATCTGGATAATCAGTATGCCAGAAGGTGAAGAAACTAATCAGGGTGTTGATAATATATTCCATGAAATCATGAAAGAAAACTTTCCAAACCTAGACATTCGAATATCCAGAAAGAAATGCAAAGGACCCCACATAGAATCAACCCCAAAAGATCTTCTCCAAGACATATCACAGCCAGGTTGACCAAAACCACAGACAGAGATAAGATACTAAAATTGGAAGAGAAAAACATCAAATTACTTTAGAAGGATACGCCATCAGGCTAACATCAGACCTCTCTTCAGAAACAATGCAAGCAAGGAAAGAATGGGAACATATATTAAAATTATTAAGTGAAAAACAATTTTAACCAAAAATACTGTATCCGGCAAGACTATCCTTCATATGGGAAGAAAAGATAAAACCATTTTCATATAAACAAAACCTGAAAGAATTTACCAACAACAGGCCAGCTCTTTGAGAAATTCTGAAGGGAGTACTATAGCAGGAAAACTAAAGACAAATAAGAGAACAAAAAATGACCCATAAAAAGTCCAACTTAATGACAAAGACAAGTTCTGAAATATCAATAGTAAGGTTGAATATCAACAGAAAGGTCAGACCACAGTAACACTGGAAATTCAACAAAAGAGAGATTGAATGAGAAAGAACTGGTGAAATAGAATTCTATAATTTTTTTTCTGAAACATTACTGATTTTATTCTATGCTTTGTCTTCCAGATTTAAGGATTTTTGTCTTCTTTTGAGTTGTTGGGTTCAACGATTTGTTTAAAAAAAGAATTTTTTAAATTAAAACATAAACTTTTCTCCCTTCCTGACCCCTTTGCAATTGAAAAATACTTGTGAGCATTCTTATTTTGTGGCAGAATGGTTATTTGCATAAGTTCAGTAATAAAATACTATCTGTTGCCTTGCATCAGAAATTGAATTCTTTGTGCAAGTAACAGACCAAATTGAGATTAACCTAATTTTTTTTTCAAATAAATTAGTTTAGACCTCTCTTTAGTAAAAGGGGGAATGGAGAGAAGAAAAAAAAATGTTTCAGAAGAAAATTACAGTGTACTTGTCACTAGATTCTAGCTGTAGCTATACATTAAGATCTTTTGTGAATCAATAAAATGTGAAAAAAAAGTTTAGTATGGAAGAGAAAGGGGAAGGAAAAAACAGGTAAAAGTATGCTTAATTGACAACAAATCAGAAGCTATTTACTCATGAAAATGTATATATAGTAATATCCTTGCCTTGACTGACATGCATGGTATTTGTGTTGGAAAAAGAAATGTATGCTGTAAAGACAAGTAATAAAATGAAAATTAAAATAAAAAAATGAAGGTGGACATCAGAAGTTACCTCAATCTTCATTATATTTAAGTCTTAAAACTTATTTTTTTTTTTTTGCCATTGGGTGCATGTGCTCACCAGAAAGACAGAGAGAGAGACAGAGAGACAGAAAGTGAGAAATAACCCCCCAGGGGGCATGGCCATGCCACAGTCCCTTTTCCTCTGTTCTCCTCTTGGGATCTTGGGCACACACACACATGAGCCCAGATGAGTTTTAAGTCACCAGGGCCGGGACTCGAACTGTGATCAACTACATGGGTGTCCAGTGACATAACCATTACACTAACTGCTGGTCCCTAAGTCATAAAACTTTTTAAGTTCACTTATTTCTTGAGAGAGAGAAAGAGAGAGAGAGAGAGAGAGAGAGAGTCTCAGCAGAATTAGTCACACCATAATCCTCCACCCAGTCTTCTAGGTAGCCAGAATCCTGGGTGTACTTGTGAGCATGCTCAGTGTGTTTAAGTTGATTTGGAATTGAATCCAGGAGCTTCCCTAATGGCTCCAGTATTATATAATAATCCTGCAATCTCCGTGCCATAGTGGCTGGTGCCAGTGCTGTAAGCCTTTTTTCTTTTTCGTCTTCTTT